CCCTCAGCAAGTCAGAGAAGTGACAATCATCTGCTCGCACAGGGAGGCACAGGACAATCCAATAAGCAAGTGACAACCTGTGCTCTGCTCCCTTGCTTTCCAATGCTGAAAGGTTTATAAATTGGAGGGGACAGTATTTTAAAAACGTCTCTTTGAAACTGTGCTCAAGTATAACAAAACCTCAGGAAAGGACGATGGCATATCACAGTTCTGCTGCATTTCTGTCAACCCCACTTATTTGGCCAAATTCATTTACTGCGCTAGCAATCCCTCACGGTGCATCCTTATTAACGTAGCTTTATTTTTTACTGTAATTTTAACACAGTTCTCCCACATTGACTTTTCCACTAGCATCTGCAAGATGTTCTTTGAATAACGGAATTCTTATTTTCTTGCATCAATATAAACAGAGTTTTACAGGTTTGGCACTCCATTTTCCATGCTGAAATACTAGCACTGTTAATTTTTATGGGTTATAATTAAACTGTAGGTACACATTCCAAGCACAGAGTAATGCAGAAACATGGTGGTAAGTAGTCTTTGTCCTTCCTTTCTAAGGGGAACAGACAGGTTAACCAAGCTTTTCTATTTAAAATTTATTTATCAAAAAGGATTTTGGGTGTTTTGGTTTACACCTCCACCCCGTGCTATGGTAATTGCAAAATTTCCCAATCAGTGAGCTTTTCTTCCCTTAACTTTGCAACAGTTTTGCAGCTTCCTCTTTTTCTTTTTTTTTTTTTTATGATAGTAAAGTAGAGGAAAAAGCAAGGCATGTTTTCTTCAAAGATCATCTTACTACAGACACAGCACTAATAACAGAATCCAAGTTAGCTCAAACTGTAGAACATATCCTGGGTAATCATCCCTTCAGTGTGACCATAGACTTTGATTGCTATTTTGTTTTGGTTAACTGACACAGGAAAACAAAAGAACATAAGGAAATCTCATGACTTGTCTATGTCATTTGATTTAAAAAAAAAAAAATGTAAATAGATACATTTCCTTGCTTGGAGAAAAATAAAAAAAAAAAGAATCCTCAAATTAAAATCATGCAAACAAGACTAGTGTTAAAATAACACCACAATTTAAAATGTTCTTAATACAAAAATAAAAGTGTCTCAAAAAAGGTCATGTAAATCATTTTGGACTGTATACTGAGCATGAAGATGCTGCATGTGTTTGGATGCATCCCCATTTTGTTCTCTGCCAAACTGATGAAAAAAAACAAAATTATGAATGTTTCTTTCTAAGCTATCTGAACAATAACTTTCAAACACTTTACGGCTCAAAAGAAGTGTGCCTATAAAGGTTTTCAAAATAGTAAACAAGCTTCTGTTCACCAAAGCTACAAATGAAACATTAAGAGTGCAGACCTCTCTACTTGTAACATCAAAAAAAGCCAATAAAAAAAAACACTAAGACAGCAGAACGAACTAAAACCCCCTAGTATGTCACACTTGAGCCATTGCATCTTCAACTTAACCAGTGAGAAACTTAAAAGATAGAATTGTTTAAGCCAGAGCTCTTTGTACTGTTCTACACTTGAATACTTTCAGTAACTCTTATTCCACACTTTTGCCTCTCCAAGGTGATCCAGCTTTCCTTATGGAATTAAGATCATGTTTTCTGAAGGAGTAGGGTGGAGGTTTTTAAAGCACCTGCAAATTAAACAAGCACAGTGAGGCAGCTGCAGGAACCACTGTCAGCTTCACAACACTGACATACGTGACCACAGCAACACTCGCAAGAGCAAATTTCACCATTGAAAACAGGCGATCCCTTTCTGCCAGTTTTGATGGAATTGTCTTTACACAATGGCTAGACAAGAGCTGAAAATCACCACAAAATTAAGTGTGTTAAGGAGAAATTTGTATGAGAGAGAAACTTGGACTCAACATACACAGGTTTGCAAAAATCAAACCAAAACTTGTCCCATTCACGCTATGACACTCTAATCTCTACAAATTCCCACTTCGGTCTTATTCTCTAAATTCTGCAATCCACCGTAAAAAAGACTGAAAGTATCTATATTTGGTCTCATGGACAAAAAGGTGAACGGAGGAAAGATGGAAAGAGAATGTTAAGTGTGTGGGTTCAACCAGTTCCTGCTCGATCTGGGAAGTGAAGCAGTCAAAGATAAAGTTTCAGTGAAAAACATTTACTCTGAGATGCAAACACAGGGTGAAGTCACTACGGCTTATCTGATGCACAATGATTTGTTGGTGTGTTTGCCAGCTTGCTCATAAATCCCACAGTACTCTTATATACTTCACTTCCACCTCCTTCTTAAAAAAAATGCTCCCTTCAACAATAAACAAAAAATCCCACATGGAAGTAGCTAAAAAAAATGTGCTGCTTTTTTACAGGTAAATTAGAGATGGCAAATGCAAAAGACTTCAACTAACAACTTGGGTTTATGGTACACACGTACTTCCATTCCTAAAGTTTGTTTACAGACATGGTGGAAGCAGACGAGTACCTTATCACATGCAACAATACTGAGCACATGGATCTCTTGACATCTTTACCATTCGCCTTCTATGATTATAACATTACTCTGTAAGTACCATGCTCAACAGAAGTCCGGCAATTTAAAAATCCTTTCTCATTTTGCAAGGTAAACTCACTTAAGAACGATGGTCTTTCATCCGGGTTTTGTGCCCATCCAGTTCCTATTAATCTTATGATGAGCACTCGATGAGGAATGTCCATTGATAAACTGTCTTCACTTAAGTCTAGTCGTTGTCCTTGTGACACACTGTACATTATCTGCAAGGGGTTTATAACTTCTGTCAAAATAGACATCGTGCCTTCATTAGAAATATATGCAATATAAACAGCTTACTATAGGAAGAATAACTTAGTTTGCAGACATAGTTTTATAGTTCACCAAATTAAGTTTATGTTTCTTTTTTTTTTTACAAAAAAATGTATTTTTAATTTATCAAATAACATTGTAATTTAAAGAAAACAATATAGAGAGTTGTGTAATTTGAAAAGTAACTCAAAGTGTTGTTCAAGAAGCTTGCAAGTTGAATCATTAAAAAGTAACTCCTAAAATGAAGTCCCCAGGTATGTAGGTCTCAGGTTTAGCCTTTATGTAAAGCTGTAGAAATAAATTAAAGAAAGCCATGGCCTTACCTTCGAATGGCTGTTTCCTTGACATCACTTCCCACATAATAATTGCATAACTGTTTAAAGTATAAAAAGTATAGACGGTGTTATTTTGGATTACCTACACTTAATAACACAATGCGCTAAGCTTCATTTTATTAAAAATATTTTACTAAAATGATCCTGCATGACACACACAGGACTGACTGTAGCTAACTATGATGACCTGAATATATGAAAACTAACAGGAATTGTAACCAGTGACTTCAACTAGAACTAGCTAATAATATTAAATACTGAAAAGGTACATGGCATATAAACTCCTATTCCAAATCTGTATTAGTCTGCTCTACTAATACACTGTGAATTATATACATGCAGTTTAAATCTTGGTACACAAAGCAAAGTGCTCCCCAGAGTCCCAGCTTCTCTATCCTAACTGTACTGTGGCATTTCCCCACTCTGGACAGAAACTCTCTGACATTCCCACGGGAAGCAGGGTACTAGCAGGGAGCATGGCTTTCACCCACACCTCTATCCCAACACAAAGTCAGAGCCAGCTAAGATACAGACTTGTATCTGGAAAGCACACTCCAGTTTCTCCTCCTAGACATAAATTCTTTCAACATATGCAATCTTCTTTATAGGGAGAGATGTCCCTTTTACATACAAAGTTCACTTTACAAAAGAGTCTCGGGAAGACCACCATGAGCTACAGCCAGCAGGCTGAACACACAGTTGCTTACTCAAACCAGTGATTTTTTTTTTTCCATTCGTATCAACATGAATCGGAAGTGGCTCAGTGAATACGAAGACATATCTGCTCCATCTTTACTGTACTAGTCACCCTCTTCGATCATCAGGATATATTAAAAAAAAGGTAACTTTTTTATAATTATTTTTATAATAAAAGGTAACAAATTTATAATTGAAATTGGATTAGACTATTTCATTTAAATGAAACATCGACTTAATTTACAAAAAAATAATCAATGGAGTTAAAGCAAATAAAAGATAAAAAAAAGAAAAAGAATGTAAAAACTTCAAATCTGGTTTTCCTATTTAAGAATATGAATTTGGTGTGAGGAATAAATCCAGTAGTTCTAAAGCTAAAATAAGAGAGCAACAAAGTTTCATTGCTTAAGAACTGAATTTCAAATGTCAAACATATCCTTGTAAGCTTACCTCTACTATTTTATTTTTCAGTAAATCAATTTAAAAGTGGATTGAAAAGTTTTTCAAATTTTACTTAAAAAAAATTGAACTCCAATTTCAACTGAATAAAAATTAAACTATACAAAGAATTATTTTTTCACTATCAAAAAAAAAAGTAAGAGCGAAGTAACTGACGCTTCAAATCAATCATTTATATTGAGCTTTCCTAACTACTTATTCCATTCACATTACAGCATTCATCAATTTTAAAAATTATTCAAGTAACTTTTAGTAAAAGCAGTCCTCCCTGTTAGAAAGCCTGCTTTGGGTACATTCTTGAGGAATTTATGCAGGCAGATTTTTTGGGCTGATTTTTTTGGCATGACAAATTGTTACTTTTGTAAAAGTTAGTGTTGCTTCACTGTTGTTTGAATGATTTTTTTCTTTAAGAAAGATCCTCACAAGTTATCTTCAATATCTCAACAATATTCAGCTGTATCTGCTGTGGTCAACTAATCAGACAACCAGCCTTTCATTTAGTTTGGAATCCCTCTACAATAAAGATTGCTTTCTCAATTCTACAACACTGCAGCATACCACTTCCTACTGATTTCTTTTTACACTATTACTATTTTCCTTTCTATTTCTGCTTCATAACATCTCCTTCTGATCCTGAGCACAGATCTTTCTCTGTGACTTTTCTGGTAGTCGTTTCCTTCACTGTTTCTCTACCTTCATGTCTTCCTACCTTGAACTGCCATCCCTCGTTACTATGTTGCCTCAGTTTCTTTTCTCTCTTCTAAAATAATCTATTTCCTTCCTAATTTATCAGTTTTCTAAGATCTTCTACTTATCTTTTCTCTCTTATTTTCTCTCATTTGGTTGTTATTCCTCTGTAAGCATTTTTTTTTTTTCTCACAAACATTCAGCGGCGTCTTCTCCACTCATTCATTAAGCCACCAGCCACAATTTCAAATCCTCTAAAATCAGAAGCTGGAGGACACACTGCTACTTCTTTCCCCATAATATACTGTTATTCCTTTTTAATGTCTTCCTAGTCCAAACTTTCTCATCAAAGGGTGAGGAAAGCAGATATGTTACCATCTCTATTATTTGGACAGGAATGTCAAGGAACTTTATGTATCCCTTAAGGGTACAGGATAATTAAGAGAAATCGTGGTCTCCCTGGAAGTGGTCAAGTAAGATGGTCAGTAAGACCCTCTGTGACTGATTCATCTCTCATCAAAATTCAACCCTGTCACAGATAGTGGAAGGTAAAGGTGGTAGAACGCAACAGAGATGGACATTGTCACAGTGATATGTCTCTTCATGCTTCCTTGATCTCCATTTACACATGACAATACCCTCCACAATCGTTCAAGTAATCTTTGAGCTCTCCAAGCCTTTTCAGATCAGCTAATTGTAACTCTAATATGCTAAGAGCAACTGCCATTTTGCTACATGGGTCACCACCACTCTACTGCTTCCTATTCTGTTGCTTCTACAACTCGGAACTGACTGACGCAAATCTACCTGAACTTTCCTAAAATAAATTATTCCTTAAGGAGAGCTCTCTAAATACTCCCTCCAATCCCATTACCCTGTTTTTTCCCTAATCCCTTTCCAAACATACGCTTTCTTCTTTCCCCCAAATGCACTCTGCAAAGCATTTTAACTGATGTGCATGAATTACAGGGGTATGTGCATTGAGATACTGGTGTGGACAGTTTTTCCCCTCCCTACATTGTCTCTATGAGTACAGTCATTGATAGAAACCAGTCTCCTCTGTCTTTTTCTGTAGTTCTAGCTTAGTTTCTGGAGCATTACACTTGTCACAGTGTTTCCTAAAGAAACAGGTGATCAAATCTGGCTGCCACTCAATTCTATTTGTTGCTTATACACTTATTATACTTCTGAAAAAAATAACATTGCTGAAAATATGTGAAAGTCTAATTTAATTAAATCAAATTTGAATTCAGATTGCAAAGCCCACTTGAGGACAACATGAGCTACCTGTAGATATCGTGTTTTACACTTGCTCGAGTTTTCTGACTGGGGTTGTAATCTTCAGGTGGCATGTAGATAATCGTCCCTCCTTCTGGCAAAGAGGTTTCACTTCGTGATTGCGACATGGATATGACACGCCATTTTGACATGCCAAAATCTGCAATCTGTAAAGAAAAAAATCAGTTGTTCTGAGAAGAACTGAGAAGAACTTATGTGCTGAGCCTTGTTAGAAATTCCTGGAATGTGCCTTAAAGAATGGGTCACTTCAAGTCCTTAACCCAACACACAAAAAGTATGTGGTTGTCCTAGCAACAGGAAACACCAGCTCCAGATCAGAAAGCATTCCCAGGTCATGACTCATGCTATCCCTATAGCACTGCCTTGCCCTCTTTTTCTTTTAAAGAAGGACTCAGGCTTTTTGGCTAGGGAATCTGCTATGGGAGTCTATCTGGTGTGAAGACAATCACTTTCTTTGGTTAAAAAGAGCAAACAAAAAGCCATTGAGTACTTGTAGCTCTCTGGTTGTGAAGAAAGCAGAAATTTAGTATAAATCATAATAGCTCTAGGTAACTTAGCTTGCAGATGTCTCGAGACAGTTGCTCTCACAGAAAAATCGTAGGGTATTCCAGTTCACCTCCAAAATTATGAAATATTAATCTCGAATTAATAAATTTGATATTCCAAAATTCTGTGCTGCAAAAAGTTGGTGAATATTTTCTTTACTGTGCACTTGGAGGCCTTGTCCCTTGCTACAGAATTTGCAGTACATCTACATAAAGAATTAATTGACTTCAGTTTACATTCCCAGACATTTGTGAGCCAGAGAGCAAGATGTCAGAGTAGGTTATGGGTAGGTAGACAAACAGCCAGCAGAATAAGTTTGCTGGTTGAGCTGCAGAGTGCCTGGCATACAATGGGGAAAGATAAGTAGCCAGCTATGAGCTCTGCACTTGTCAAGTATTTGCATAAGAGCAAAACTGTTTTCAACAAAGATGCCTACGCAAGCACTGTGGCAACTAAGATAACAGAAATAAGCTTTCTGGAGAGCGTACAGTTAAAATCCACAGTGAAAAATAACCTTTTTTCCCTCTGTAACACACTCTCATCAAGCTTTCCTCACTGTAACTGGTCATGTTATCCTGCCCATTCAGTAGATCTGGGACAGCCAGAAACACTCTATGAATGGTGTTACTTTTCTACATATGCAATACTTTTATTTGGCATGCATGATAACCTTCCTTGCCTTTCCTGCTAGCTGTCCTAAATTAGAAAATCTTGCTTTACTCCAAAAAAACACTCAAAAACCCTAAGGGCAGTCTTCCAGAGACTCCTTAGAGGAGGCAGGGCAGGCATGCAAGAGTTAATCTCTTCCCTTCAATTGCTGCGGCAAAGCAACTGTCTGGCAGAGCACCAGACCACATCAGTGTTGTTAGGGTTTAAAAAAAAAAAAAAAAAAAAGAGTGGATAAAAAAATTACTTGGACCAGTTCCCCAATCAGGTTTATCAGGAAGCTCGAGAGATGGCAATACCAGCAAAACTGAGTGGGAGGAGGTATGACCTGCTTGAGGGTGTGAGCGGAGACAAAACTGTGTAAGGCACCTTGCTGCCAGGAAAAATGTCTTTGCAATGGATAAAGAAGAAATCAACACTGGATCTTTGATCTTTGCTCAAGGGACTTTCAAAAAGGTTCATCTCATGGTGAAAACTGCAGCATTCACCATTCAAGTATAAATTAAGTGCAAAATATCTCTTATTTCTCATTTACTTGCATAGCGTATTCTATCAATTTTAAAACCAGAGGATCTTTTAAAAAAACCCAAACAAATCTTGCAATTATGGAAGCACCTAACCCTTCTGTCAGAAGTACTTTTAGTCTCTTTTCACATCATGGCAGCGAAATTTTAAAAGGCAGAATTAAAGTTTTAAACTAACATTACTTCTCTACGCATGTTTTCTTGCTCTAAGGATCTTCACAAAAGCCATCTTCCAACACGTACAGATTTCACAGTTACGTTTTACATGTTCTTACACTAGACTGACAGAACATATATGTACATATTGCAGGGTAAATATCAAATAGGGTATTAACATTTGAATTTGATCTAGGGTCCTCCAGAACTAACTTGTCTGAGCATTCCAGGCAGAACACTTTCCATTTTGTCCTCAGAAAGGGCCAAAGGTAGCTACCCTTGGAATGTTGCCCTACAAGAGTGTGTCACTGCTATTAAGTATCAGATAGTGCTATAGAACAAGCAGCCCAAATTCTGGCTTTCTGATCTTTTCAGTTGGATCAAATGCACACTTGAGCAAAGCAGAGTTTTCAAAAGAAGTTGTTAAGTTCTGACAGCAAGGACAGAAGAAAACATCTGGCATACAATTACGTCCCCTCTATATGGCCCATTCTTACTCTTCCTCCTCTATAATAATTAAAACCACTTTTGCTCATTCTGGAGGCTGAAGAACAGAAGAATTAAATAACTCATACCTTAACATGAAATTCATCATCCAGCAAAATATTCTGGGTTTTCAAGTCATGGTGCAGCAATGGAGGATTCATGTTGTGCAAATAGTTTACTCCCAAAGCAATTTCATAAACAATGCGGAATCTCAGGCACCAGGGAATGTCAGGATATACCTCTTTCTGCCAAGATAAAACCACAAAACCAGAATATAATCATCTGTTCTGATCTAACAGCACAACATAAAGACTTTAATAATAAGAAGAAAGCGACTTGGACAAGCAGTAATCTTTTAAAACATACACTACATGAACTCCTTAAAAAATTTCATCTGAGCATTAAGTCTGGTTAGCTGTTAAAGCAAATATATAATGCAGTGTTATGTTTCCATTCCCCAGCATTCACATAATAGTTCATGACTGGTATACACAGTGTAGGACATTTACTATACTACTCATTCATATGGAAATACGATTTACAAATGAACTCCAGTATGAAACTTGCAACCCACAGATTATAAGTATTACACAAATGAAGGAAAGAATCATATCTTATTGGGAAAAAAATAAAGCTGTGGTGAAAGTAAGCATAAAATACCACCCTTATAAGTATTAATACACCAAGAAAAAGGTTGTAAATCTCAACTGGAATCTTAGAAGCCACATTGACACTAATATCTTTATGAAAAACACACAGTTGAGCTCTCTAAGGCATGAGATATGTGCTGATTAAAGGTACAGACAAGACTGCAGTGCTGCTGAGGCACATTGCAGTAGCTTTACAGTAGCAATACTGGATGCTCAGACCAAGCTAATGGGAGCGGCTGAGAGTTCAGCACAGGAGAACTTAACGCCTGAGGGTAAGATCTGGTAGAAATATCCATATCTGTTTAGATTAGCAATATTTGACTTCTATAAACTAAATTAAAAATCTTCAATTTTTTTTTTAATAAAGATTCAGATTCAGGAAAAAATCCTTACCTTTGTGTAATACTTTCCTTAAGTATAGAAATCACAATCTATTTGAAACAACCAGGGATTGTATTTAGAGACTGTAAGTACACTTACCTCATGTAAAAGCTGGTTTAATGACCCATTTGTCATGTACTCTGTTACTATCCCCAGAAATTCAGGCTCATTGCAAATTCCCAAAATTGGCAGAATGTAACTGAACCTGGCTTTGTGTAATATCTCTGCTTCTTTTAGAAGGTGATTTCTATCACTTAAAGAAAAGAAAACAAACAAAAAAGGTTACCATACCAATAATAGCAAACTCAAAGCAAATGTTGGGTTCACTATAACCTCTTAAAAAAATTATGCACCCATACGCAGTACCACCACCTTTCACCATTTGTTTCCCACTACGCTGTTTTGATAACAAGATGCTTTAAGACAAATGAGAATCTGCAAATGTAAATACAAGACAGCTTCCCCAGTTTAGTTGTACCACACAAATCTCTCTATTTCCATCACACGTCATCCGTGTTTCCAGTAAATGAGGATACAGTCAGAACTCCAACTTTTCACCATCCTGTGTAACCATAATGGTAATAATCAACTACATTTGTCCTGGTTTACTGCCCATCTTCAAACCCTGAGTTTTCACTGAGGCCCAGTATTAATCTCCTACAGAGTGGAGATTTTAATACTTGCACTTCTTAGCTGTTTCAATTTAGCAGACACTGACTTGGACTAAAATAATATGGGTTAAAGGAATGCACTTTCAGTTTCTGAAGGAAAAGGAATGTCCAACTATGTTTTGTTTTCACATAAATTGTTCTTCCAAAGCCCCCACTTTGAATCACTCTCCGGAAAAAACATTCCCTGGATGCACAGGAAGCTGGAAGAGACCAGCCTCATGATGTTTGGACACCTGAATTTGGCTGTGTGAATGACCTCTGCTACATCAAACCTCCTCATAAATGTGAATTTGATGTATCTTCACAAATCCAGACCTTGCAGCATGTGGATTCAAGAAGATCAAGTTTTATTTAAGAATGAGTATGCTTCTATCCCTAAAAATGATAATTTTTTTTGTATGTGTTACATCTCTAATGTTCTTGAATAAAAATGGGTTTGTTAACAGTGCAGATACCTGGACCAAGAGGAATAATTCTAAGCAAAAAAAAAAAAATTGATTTTACACCAGCGGAGACTAGTACAGGTACAAGTACACGACTAGGATATCCACATACAGGACTTCTACAGCACATCTAAGACTGATCCTTTGGATGTGAGCCAGACTGATTCAGAAGCAATACAGCTTGTGTATACAAGCCAGGGCTACACCCAGCACGACTGGCTCAGCACAGCACCGTGTGGCCATGCAGCTCCCGGGCGTCCATCAAGCTCAGGGCACACTCTGAAGAGCTCAGGTCAGTCTGGACCCATTGATGTAGATCTAGCCGTCACAAAGCGTCAGAGTATATGGTCAAAAGAAGCAGCCTGGAGAACTAAAGCCTGCTGCTTTTACGCCGGAAAACTTTGAATTTGGATGAATGTGAAATTAAGGGCGATTGTTGGTCCTTATCTATGTGATGGAAAAAGGCTTCTATTGTAGGAAATGATCAAAGTAAAAAGGCAGCCTTCAAGAAAAGCATGGGACAAAAGATACCACTCCCTCCCTTCCTCTCTCTCCAGAGAAGATGAGGTTTGAGAAAGCTAGGGGTTTTCCAAGGCCCTGAGGCACATCTGCCTAAATTAGTACAAGTCCACAGTAGCTTCCAAATTGGCTTTGCTCTCTGGCTGGTCACACACCAAGATCTGGGATACACAGCGCGGGCTTCCTGTTTGGGGAATTAACTGCACCGTGAACTCTTCCCTTTTATTGACAGAATTTACCGAATAGCGTTTTATGTTGCCTACTATACAACCAATAAATCACTTGCTGCAGGGACTCGGGTATAACAGATTTCTTACAGCTTTTGGTCTTTTGATAGCATTTCCAAGCTCTGTACGATATATGATAGGCAGCGGAATTATTTTGATTACCTCAGTTGCCCTTTTCATCATAATTTCATGGGTTAGATAATTAACAGGGATTTAAGCAGACATTTAAATAAAAGAAAAAATCCCAACAATAAACTTATCAGAGAACACAATATTCCTGCTTAAGAACATAACCGAGATTCCATTTCATTCTGGCAAGTTTACAAAGATTAAGAATCTGTATACACACCTGGGGAGCAAGAGGTGAGATAGCTTAAAACAACTTATCTTGTATTCTAGTATATTGGGTCACAAGACTAAAAGCCATGTTATTTTGAGTGAAGCTATTCTGCCCAAATACCTAATACTACGCCAAAGAAACCTGAGGCAGTAAAGATTAAAGACACCTAGGTAAGACACAAGAGGCAGGTTTACAGTCAGGCAGGATTCAGATAGCCTAAGAAGAAGCAAGTTTGCATCGATATGATAAAAAATTGGCACTATTGAGAGTGAATGAGGCAGGGATGGAATAAAAATGATTACCTTCTGCACCCTTACATGGAGTGAGAGCTCCTGCAATAAACATGCTGTCAGTAGGTCCCAAGAAAATGAGGAACATAACTGCTACATGTTGAAGAGCTAGTAAAAAACATGAGTTGTATGTGGGGGCCTAGAAGCCAATTACTTTAAATTAGCTTATCTCAATACTATGAGATCTGGGGAAAAAAAAACAAACAAACAAGAACACACAACAAAAATAGTGCGTTGTCTCATAGAAGCTTCTAGGAGCTAGAAGCAATGTCTAGTGGATACAGTAATACATTCCTTACATTCTTCCCGTCTCTCTCTGTAAACAACGAACCTATAGTAATCACTCTATTTTAATATCACACTGATACTTCAGCAAAACGGTTCGCACCAAACAGACCCAGAAAGAAGCTGAACTGTGCAAATCCCACCCTGAGGAGGAACGGAGGCGTGCTCTGCAGAAGTAAAAAACCTTCAAAAGACGCAATCTGCTTAGTGTCTCACACGCCGAGACTGAAACCGGCCATTTTCAATGACCGAAAGAGAGGAAGCTCCGGGGCTGGTTACGTGCGTTCTTATGGCTCAAGCTGAATCAGTCTTCATGGGATCTCCTTTGCCCTTGGCTTTAAAACAGCGCTGCCCAGTGAGGCACCCACTCTGATCCATCAACCTTCGCCGTGGTAGTTCGACCCAAGCCCGGTAGAGCCCAGCCTCGCCGCCCGTGGGGCCTTTTTAACCACCGACGGGACGCACTTATGGGAGTGTCTCGGGCCAAAGAGGGAGCGTGGGACCCCCTTCCTTGGGGAAAGGCGGTTCAGTTCAGTCCTTCCTCACGGGGGCTGGACTGAGGGGAGGGGAGGGGTGATGGAGGCAGCGCGGCTGCCGGGTGAGGGCGA